TAGATTTGTGGTTATCAGGAGTCTATTTTAAGTTGGCAGTCACTTAAACTCTAACACTTTCTAACACACTCAATTTTATGTATTTGTCATACAGTATATATTTTTATTTTGTGTATCCCTTAATGAATTATTATAGATATAGTTGATTTTACAGTTGTCTTTCAACTTTTGTATTAACTTTCTAAGTGTTGATTCACTATCTTTAGTATATGCTTGCCTTTACCAGTGAGATTTTTTTCTGCCTAAAAAGTCCCTTTAATATTGCTTGCAAAACCAATTTAGTGGTAATGAACTCCTTTGGTTTTTACTTGTTTTGGAAACTAACTCCCCTTGAATTCCAAATGATAACTTTGCCAGGTGGAGTATTCTTAGTTTTAAGTTTTTCCTCTCAGCACCTTGAATATGTTTTGCCACTCTTTTCTCGCCTATAAAATTTTTGATGCAAAATCAGCTTATAGTTCTGTGGAAGTTGCCTTATACATAACTAATTGCTTTCCTCTTGCTCCTTTTAAGATTATCTCTTTAATTTATACCATAGTTATAATGTGTCTGTGCACTTCTCTTTGGGTTTATCTTGTTGGGTCTCTGTGCTTCCTGGATCTGGGTATCTCTTTCCTTCCCAAGGTCAGGGAAATTTTCAGCTACTATTTCTGTAAATACATTTTCTGCGTCTCTTTCTCGGACCCATATAAAGCTAACATTATATGCTGGATGTTGTCTCAGAGGTCCCTTAAATTATCTTCATTTAAAAAAATTCCTTCTCATTTTGCTGTTCACTTTGGGTTAGTTCTATGACTCTATCTTCCAGAACACTGATCCTATTTTTCTTTATCATCTAGTGTCCTATTTATTCCCTCTAGTAATTTTAGTATTTTTCATCTCTAAGGTATTCTTCAGTGCTGGTTTTTTTCTGTCCAAATTTTTATTTAAATGCAATACAGTGTAATATTGGTTTCCAGTGTAGAATTTAGTGATTCAACACTTCCATACATCACCCTGTGCTTAACACAACAAGTGCCCTCCTTAATTCCCATCTCCTGTTTAACCAATCCCCCCCGCCCAAACTAACCCATTTCCCCTCTAGCAACCATCAATTTGTTCTCTGTAATCAAGAGTCTGCTTCTTGGTTTTCCTCTCCCCCCACCCCATTTGTTTGTTTTGCTTCTTCAATTTCCCATATGAGTGAAAGCATATATTTGTCTTTCTCTGACTGACTTATCTCAGTGTAGTATTCCCTAGCTTCACTCACAACATTGCAAATGTCAATATTTCATTTTTTATGGTTTGGTAATATTCCATTGTGTGTGTGTGGTACACATACCACATATATATATATATATGGACGTTTGTGCTCTTTCCATAATTTGATTATAGATAATGTTGCTCTAAACATTGGGGTGCAGGTATCCCTTCAAATTAGTATTTTTGTATCATTTGAATAAATACCTACTAGTGCAATTGCTAGATCATCGGGTAGTTCTATTTTTAACTTTTTGAGGACGCTCCATACTGTGTTCCAGAGTGGCTGCACCAGTTTGCATTCCCATGGTTGGTACTCTTTTGTATTTCCTCTTTGTTGAAAATTTTTACTATGTTCATCCAGTTTTCTAAATATAGGAAGCAACTTTATGACGATCACTTTGAAGTCTTATATATATCAGGTAGATTGCTTATCTCTGTCTCATTTAGTTCTTTTCTGAGGTTCTATCTTGTTCTTTCATTTGGGATATTTTTCTGTTTCCTCATTTTGCCTGAACCTCTCTGTTTATTTCTATTTATTATCTAGTTCAGCTATGTCTCCCTCTTGAAGGAGTCACCTAGTGTAGATGTCCTGTGGGACCCAGAGGCACAATCCCCCTCTCCTCCTTGACTACTAGAGCCAGGCAATGTGAGGGTGTTTCCTGTGTGTGCTGCATATACTCTCCTGTTGTGGGGCTACAACTCCTTCAGGAACATTGGTGGGTGAGGTGGTCCCAGTCCCAGCTGGCTGCCATGCCTGATTGCATCTGTTGTGGCACATTTGTGGGTGAGGATGGCCCCCAACTATAGCTACTTTTGGAACTTTGGTGGGTGGAGCTGTCAATCTGTTGACTCTGAAGTCCAGCCAGGGTGCATGGGTGTGTGGGGCTCTCAGCAGGGCATACTTCCTGGCATTAACAGTCTAGAGAAAGGACTCCCAAATCGTGACCACCAGCATTGGAATCAGCATGTCAGAATTAGATAGCAAAAATGACTGCTGTCAATATCTCAGCCCCTGGTGTTAGGTCCTGCTGCTGCTTGTGTCTCTGGCAGGCATTTGAAGGTTAGTAACTCGACTCCATCTATGGTCTACACACTCTTTGATTTGGTGTTTCTGCCCTGGTTTCTTGGTTGAGTATGGGCACAGGCCCTTTAAGAGTGGCTTTTCCTTTCCCTCCGGTTCTGTAGTTTCCCTGGACATATTCCCCTTTCATTTTCAAAGCCGTGTGTTTTGGGATCTCATCCGTCCTGTGGAGTACTTAAGGGCTAAGGTGCATAATGTGGAGCTTGAATTTTTTGCTCCTCAGGGAGAAGTTCTGTACCTTTGAGATTCTTCCCAGCCATGGAACTCCAAGCCTGGGGTGTGTTTCCTTCCTCGCCCCCACCTTGGTGAGACCATCTGTCTGCCTTTTCTACCTATCTCAGTGCTGTCCGTTGCTGTGGAGGGTTTGTTCATCCAGTTTCTCAGACCCCTTCAAAGGAAATTATTCCATGTGTAGTTGTGGACTTACTGTGTCAATGGAAGGATGTGAGAACAGGATCTCTCTATACTACCATATTGAACTTCCTCCTCTTGGCAACAATTTTTAAAAAGTATCAAAATAGACCCCATTCAGGAAAGGCTAGTAGGTGTCCTTTTCCTGCTCCCTGCATGCTGGTCCTGATGTGACAGCTGCAGTGAGTATACCTGTGCCCATTAGTAACTGCCTTTGTTTGCTATAGCCTTGTAGGGCGTGTGGACACAAATCCCATTGACTTTCAGAACCAGGTGTTTTGAGGGCTAGTCTCTCAGATGAGGGTCTTAAAAGTTGGGGCTGTAGATGTGGCATCCAAAATCTTCTCTCAAAGAAAAGCTGGTATTTGGAGATTCCCTCCTGATTATATTGTGCTGTGCAGTGGGTAGGCATCACTTGTGCTAAGAATGTGCCTAAACCTTTTCTACTCAATTTGATGGGAGTGCTTTTAGTTGACCAGTGTGTAAGACTCGCTCAGCTCATTTCCGGGTTTCCTTCAGAGGGAATTGTTCCATGTGTCACTGTTCAGTGTGACTTTGGGAGGAGGGGAGGTAAGGAGCCTTCCATGTTGCCATCTTTAAAGCTGCCTCAATACTTTCTAAACTGTGTTTGTGAGGGCTTTTATCCCCTTAGGATGGGGAGACTTAAGCATGGATGGATTATATGGGCAGGAGTCCTTAGTAAGGAAAGTATTTACAATAAAAGGAAAGCATTGGGGGAGGGAGAGCTAAGTTTTGAGAGGAGAAATATGAATTCAAGATAACAGAAATGGGCTTGACCCTGGATGTGGTCACTAGGGATATGCCTGCCTTTGGAGTGGAATGGAGAAGAGAGGATGGCAGAACTACACAGTGTGAGTGATATTCAAGGAAACCACAAACTTGGAGGAATGACTGATTGTAAGAAAAAGGGAGGTGGCTTGGAAAGGAACATGAAAAAGAACTGGAGATACTGTATTATGACTGGGAAGAAGGGTAGAGTTTAATATGGAATCCCACCAAATATGCTGTTATTTCTGATATCCGTTGGGCCTTTGTAGTGAATATTAGAAACAAAAAATTACTCTTGTGATATCTTTTGAGTGCTTGCATGTGTCAGGAACCAAGCTAAGCATTTAAATGAAAAATTTTATTCAAACTTCTGAACAGCCTTTTAGGTAGTACTGTTTATACTTGCTAATCTGTAAAACGAGGATAATATAATAATAGTGAAATCAAGATGGAGTTGAATCCTTGCTTGGCCACCTTTACTGGTGGTGGTCACTGGGCAATTTACTTAATCTCTTGAAACTCCAGATTCTTCTTTAAGAATGAGCAACAGGACCACTATTTTATAAAGTTAGAGATAGTAAATAATTTGGGTAAAAGAGCCAAATACTCTGAGTGTTTGATTTTTTTTTAATACCATTTTAGAATATGGACTGTTGCTGAATGAACAATTTGATTCAAAGTCACTGTGATCTGAGTTCTCTTTCTTAGGGGAGATAGGACCCTGCAACACAGACGTGAGAATCTGTTACTTGTATTACAGTGAAAAGGGTGACATAGCCTGGTATCCAAAAAAAAAAAAAAAAAACAAAAAAACACTAGTCTGGAGTCCAACAAGGGCATTCACATTCAAACACACTGTGGAGACCTAAGGAACTACCCCTACACTAGCTGTGGTTCACATGCTGCAGCTGTGACTCCTGAGTCTGTAGTAAAAGATTCTTGATTCTGTCTGCCTCTCATTTATTTTGTGACTTTGGGGTTTGAGGCGGCCAACTGACTTTTCCAAAGTAGAACTAAACAATGGCCTGCATCTCAGAGAGAATGCTACAACAGGTTGGTTAAGTCTATCAATGTTGGAGCAATTCTTGGATTCCTTTTGCATAAACAGTTGCAAGGGCCACAGTAAGATGACAATGCTGCAGATAACCAGGACCTGGGGAGTTCCCTTTGGCAAGAGCTTTAAATGTATTTTTGCAAACACTGATTAATGAAGCAACTTGTCCCTTAGGAGGAGCAGACCTGGATAGCACTGCTTTTCTGCAGGTGCGTTGGGATGGGAACCCTGGGAAAGGAGGTGGGGGGAGGGGTGCTCAGGCCATATCCCCAGGAGAACATCAAAGGAGATTTGAGCTCAGTCTCCTACATGCCCCAGGTATTAACTCATAGATGCTTCTCCAGGGTCTAAAGTACTTCTCCAGGCCAAAGCTGGAAATCCTAAAACCTCCCTGACCCAAAAGAAACACACACTGCCATACTGTTGTGGCTGAAATACTGCTCATATTTATTAAAAAGGTAGGACATAATGCATCTGTAGGGATCCAGTTCCACAGTTCTCAAAACACTAGCTATAAATCACCCTTAGGCTTGTCAGTCCCTTGGGTGGAAGCAAAAGTGCTTTAATGAAATGACCCCAGAAAGAATAAACCATTGTACCATACTATAAAGAATATAGCTAATCAATCAAGGAGCGGAAGAAGCTTGGAAATGAAGCAAAAGCTGCCCTTCCATCCAGTCCAGAGTGTAGACTTCTCCCCTTGAGCATCAGCTTGCCTCTCAAGTGACACAAGTCCATCCTCCCAACCAACTGCCGGAGCAAGAAGAACGTGGATTAACTACAGGCCGTGGAAGGGAAATCTGACAGTGTAATAGCCATTTCCCAGGGAAAGGACATCATCATCAGGCATTCAAGTATCTGGGGTGACCTATGGGGAGATTTCCTAATGAGAAATTTGCAGGTTCCATCTGGAACAGCACAGAAGGGAGACTTGTAGAGTTGGAAGTCCATCAGAAGACACTTACAAGATGACCACTCCGCTTCCTTCTGAATAACACAACTGGGACTAGATCAAATGCTACTAAAGTAAGGGCTCAGATGTTAGATCTAGTGGATACTCCTTTTGCTTGTACTGTCCTTAAAGCTTTCTTTCCAAAGAGGGTGAAGAGCTCTGATTATGTACAAAACTAGATGCATTGGCATGTAGACTCATGTGCAAACATTCCTCCCAGGGCTGGGCAGTCCTGGGCCGTGAAAGTGCTTGGAATGCCTGGAACCATGTCACCCTAGGCATATTTGCCACAAGAGTTTTCACTGCATAACTCACTGGTCCGTAGGCCATTTGGCCATAAAAGATAAAATAACAAAAACTGAGACCTCAAGAAGGACATAATGAAGAAATAATTTTTATACCACATTAAGAGAAGTGTCCGTTTTCTAAATACTGGGATGCACATTTGTAACTGAGGTTTGTGTTGTATGATGGAAGCCTTCTTGATAGATGTTGTAATGCTTTTCTAGCTGAGTTATTTTACCTAATGAATTACCATTCTGCATGATAGTTCGGTATGCAATCCGACCTTACGGTTTCATTTCACACTGCTAGTTTTCTTACTGTACTTTCTATCAAGTCTATATATGTAGTTATCATCCACTATCTTAAGACCACCATGTGTATTGGTCACTGTATTGACTAGTAGGAGGGCTAAGATTCATGGAATATAAAAATGGGAAGTCTGTCAATGGAGAAATGAAACCAAATTATCAATTATTTTATCTCTTACAGCAACGTTATCGTACAGCTAATGAGTTACATGGCAAAAATGTTTGCAGTGAAAATGCTTATGGCAAGACTCTGTAGAACTGCCTGGATGGGAAACGTGATTCTATTAGGTAAGAAGGTGTCTTTGCAGAATAGACGTTAACAGTGTCCTGGGTCAACTCACCTCCAAATCAGAGGCACTGGAAGGAGTTAATGAACAAGCAATGTTAGCACTTAGCAAATGGCTGAGATATTGGTCAGACTCTTCCAACTCTGGTACATGGTTTGATCAAACATGGCCAGTCTGTAAAAGCAATTCCCCTTTAGATTAAGGTGACCAACAGGTATCCTCTTTAGGTGCTATAATTCATCTTGTTCAACTAACTGCTACCCCCCCCCCCAACTCAATACACTACCTGTTATGACCTTATATTAAGGCTTACAATGCCTCAGCTCTGAGGAAATGCTGGCTGGAGTAGGGGCACTATGCACATGTTTATTTACAGGCATCCTGGGGTGCTTTGCAAGACTGAAATCCTCCTTCCAAAACTGTGGCAAATAAGACACCAGGAGGTTCCACAACTTGCTGCAGACCCCTCCTCAAAACTATTGGTGGTCCTGGAGCTCCGAGCTGAGATCATACTGCTGCTCTTCCGAATTAAGGCTGAACCTCTTGATTCTTATACATCTAGAGATTCTAAAATGCTCCTTCCACAGTAAGTACGCTTTCCAGGGTGTTTCTGAAAGCTGAGGACAGGTTCCAGGCAAGTACATGACACTCTAGGATTTTGCTGGTTCTGGCCTTGCGAGCAGCCAGCCTGGCAGCAAGGCAGGGAGGGGAAGGAGCCCAGCAACCAAGGAAATAGCAAGACTTGCCCCTTAAAGCAACTAGGCGCTACCAAATTCATATTAAAAACATCATCTACAAGACTTTTTGACCTATGTGCACAAACCTGCCATCACTTTACATTCCCTGGTAAGAGGTGGCATGCTCCAGCAGGGCCAGGCAAGGCCACTACTCAGTCCCTGTTACCCCCGCAGGTAGGTGGCACCTGGTGGCTCCTGCCCCAGGGCATTAATGTGTGGGATGGCACCTGCCGCAGCTGCTAACTTCTCGCTGAGCTTCTGGTTCACCAGCTCCAGGTGGCGACCATTTTTCCGGGCCTGCCTCAACGATCTCTTGACCTTCTTCACCCGATCCCGAAGCTGCTTGTTCCGTTTCTCAAGGGTGGCCACCTTCTGCTGCAGCTTCTTAACATGGTCCTCCTCCTCAAACAGGGCTTTCTGGACTGACGAACACATGAGCTGGGAAAGGAAATGCCATGGGAGAGGCAGGTAAGTCTCATATAACCTTCCCGGGGCAGTTTTCCTAGGGGCTGCCACGTACCCAGCAACACAGACCCTGACCTAGCCAACAGCCCCCACCCCAGGATGAGGACAACCTGCAAGGCCCCTTCTTGGTCTCCCCCTGGGAACCCCGCCCTAATGGCAAATATAAAGCCCCCCCTTTTGCTTTCTGTATTTGGGTATCGTCAACAATTTAATTTTTAAAAGCAATGACGTGGGTTGTCTTTTTAAATGCTTACTAACGTCTAACTTGTATACTATTGATTCCCTGAGGTGGCTCGTGACTTTTCACATTTTGCTTTGATTCAGCAACTTTGCCTGTTCAATTCTAACCTGGATTTAAAACGTTTTCCAGTAAAGTCAGTTTGTGGACCATCTGTACAGGGCTTTCAGGGTATTTTTACTGAAAGGGCAATGCCTGCAGTAAGCATCAGATACCCCCACTCTGGAAATTGTTCTGTTCATGGCAGGATGGGCTGGAAGTAGGGGGCCCTTTTTAATTTTTTTTTTAACATTTGAGAGAGAGGGCACACACGAGCAGGAGAGGGGACAGAGAGAGAGGGAGACACAATCCAAAGCAGGCTCCAGGCTCTCAGCTGTCAGTTGTGAGATCATGACTTGAGCCCAAGTCAGAAGCTTAACTGACTGAGCCACCCAGGTGAGTAGGCAGCACTTTTTAAAACTGAGGTTTTGTTTCTTACCTAAGCCACCCTGGTTTTTTTTTTTTTTTTACAGAAAAGATATTCTAAATTTTGTTAACTCCAATCAAAAAAGGAAGAGCTCCAGTAAATCAAGAAGTAAAAGATCAAAACCCCAGAGAAATACAAAAACTGGGGCACTTGGCTGGCTCAGTCGGTAGAGCATGTGACGATCTCAGGGTTACGGGTTCCATAACCCATACTACATGGGTCTGCCATGTAGATGTAGAGATTAGTTAAAACCTTTAAAATACACAAAGAATATGGATAGTTCACTGGAAAGGAAATATAAATAAGATTCATGCAAATTAGAACTATAATGAATTGCTACTTTTCAGGTTGGTGAAATCAAAAAGTCACTGTTTACAGAAATAGGCATTCATGTACTATGAATATAGTACACTCTATAAAAACACTCTATAAAAAGTGATTTGGCTATATCTACCAAAATGAAAACTGCATGTGACCTAGTTATTTTGGAACTTCATCTCCTAGAAATACTCCCCCTTAAGAGACTCTTAAGCAGAACAAACTGAGGGTTCATGGTGGGAGGGGGGTGGGGCAGGGGAGAGGGGAAAATGGGTGATGGGCATTGAGCAGGGCAGTTGCTGGGATGAGCACTGGGTGTTGTATGTAAGTGATGGATCACAGAAATCTACCCCCCAAAACCAAAAGCACACTGTATACACTGTATGTTAGCTAACCTGACAATAGAGTATATCTTAAAAAAATATTCCATGTACAAACATATACATACAACAAATAATACTGTCCTAAGATATCCTTCATTTTTGTCTTCTGACCCAACAACAAAAATTGAGCATCCATCCCTAAGCAATAGTGCCTTTGCGAGAGCTATGGGATCCAGCATAAAAGGCCAAGGGACCAAGGAGAAGCACTGGCCACCCATGTATCAGGTAATAGGCAGACATACCTCATTTCTACCTAGGCACCCTTCCATAATCCATGAGACAGTTCCAGCCTCTCTCACTCAGAGGACCTCAATATATTTCTTTCAAGAAGACATAAATAGGGCCCATAGGTATATGAAAAGGTGCGAATAAGCACGAATCATTAGAGAAATGAAAATGCAAACCATAGTCAGATATCACCTCCTACCTAGAATAGCTAATATCAAAAAGACAAGAGATAGGCACCAGTTCAAGATGGTGACGTAAGAAGATCCTGAACTCCTCTACTCCCATGGACACACCAAATATACAGCCAGCCACCTAAAGAACACTTTGTTCTGAAAGAAATCCAAAAAATAGTTGAGTGACTCCTACATATTACACAAACAAGCAAAAAACCCACACTAAAATATGAAGGAGAGGCTGACACACTTGCCATCCACCCCAACCCTAGTGCCACACCCACAATTGGGAGGGAACTCACAACTCTGAGCTTCTCCTTGAGGAGCAAAGCATTTGAATCCCTATCTGGCACTCCAACTTTTAAGATGTGTACCTGAGAGATGAGACGCTGCAACAGGTAGCTTTGAAAGCCACCAGGGCTTGTATCCATAGGACTCACAGGCTATACGAAACTAAAATCGTTCTTTTTTTTTTTTTTTAATATTTTTTATTTATTTCTAGGAGAGAGAGAGAGACAGCGTGAGCAGGGGAGGGTCAGAGAGAGAGGGAGACGCAGACTCTGAAATAGGCTCCAGGCTCTGAGCCGGCAGTCAGCACAGAGCCCGACGCGGGGCTCGAACCCACGAACCGCGAGATCATGACCTAAGCGAAAGTCGGACGCTTAACCGACTAAGCCACCCAGGCGCCCCCTAAAATCGTTCTTAAAGCCTCATGGCTACCACCCCCCAGGACCCCCTAGTGCAGAGGCAACAGACTGAAAAGCATCCATCCTTCTTTGAAAGGAGCCTATTTGCTTATCTTAAAGCTTTGGCCTAATAAGCAGGCTTCTAATTTAATACACAGCTAAAGGCCTAGTGATTAGACTCTTCAGAACAAGTAGAGGCCAGTGGGAGTCACCTTCATGCTCTCCTTCTGTTCCAGGTTGCCAGAGTCTCCAAGAAAGGAGCTGGTGTACACATCTGGCACCCTGACTTTTGTGTCTGACACATAAGGACATACCCCTGGAGAGCATGGCATATGTTCATGGCTTCATCATGACTGCAGCAACCAAAGAAACACTTCTTAACTGTCTATCCCCACAGAGCTCAGCATAGAGTGAGCAGATAAAAATGCCCATCTGCCCCATGAAAGAAATCTATCTACAAACTTTGAAGAAGGTCTGGCTTCCAATCACCATGAATCCAGATGCTGACTGAGATCCTCCCCTTTGAGATGCTGACAGGTTTTGGCGTAGCTTCCACTACTGGGAGCCACTAAGAATAAAGTAGGTTGCTTGGACAATCACAAACACTGAGAGACAACCAAGAGCTAAGTCAGAGGAGAATAATATTGTTTATCTCCTACATGAGGCCATTCCTTCAAGACTGGGAGACTTGGCTATTTTATCTAACACAGAGAAACCAGTACAGAGATCAAATGAATAAACAGCAGAATATGTTCCAAACAAAAGAACAAGAAAAGGACCTTAACGAAGGTAAGTGATTTACCTGACAATGAGTTGAAAATAACAGTGATAAAGATGTCCACAGAGTTCAGGAGAATAACACATGAATCAAGTGAGAATTTCAACAAAAAGAAAATATAAGAAAGTACTTAATAGAAATGACAGAGCTGAAGAATACAACAACTGATCTAAAAAGGAGAAAAACCTGGAAAAGAAACCATGAACGCAGACAGGGCAGAGGAACTTATCCAATTAGAACAGCAAAAAGAAAAGAGATTTGAAAAGAGTGAAGGTAGTTTAAGGGACTTAAGGGACAACATCAAGCAGACCAACGTTCACATTATGGGCTCCCAAAAGAAGAAGAGAGAAAGAGGCAGAGAACATACTTCGAGAATAATGGCTGAAAAGTTCCCTAACCTGGGGAAGGAAACAGGCATGCAGACCCAGGAAGCACAGAATACTAAATAAGATGAAACCCCAAGAGATTAGCACTGAGATACATTATAATTAAATCATCAAATTTAACGTAGAAAATCATAAAAACAGCAAAAACCAAAAAACTTGTTATGTATAACAGACTCCCCCCAAACATAATACTATCAGCATTTCAGCAGAAATTTTGCAAGCCGATAGAGACTTGCATGATATATGCATACATCCCTGGTTTTGCTGTGCTTTACAAATACTGCATTTTCTACCAGTTGAAGATTTGTGGCAATTTGTTGTATAAGTCTATTGGTGCCATTTTCCCAACATTTGTTCACTTTGTGTCTGGGTTACATTTTGGTAATTCTTGAAATATTTTATTTATTTATTTTTTGTTTTTTTACAAATAGTTTATTGTCAAATTAGTTTCCACATAACACCCAGTGCTCATCCCCACAAGTGCCCTCCTCCATGCCCATCCCCCCCTCCCCCCCACATCCATCAGTCCTCAGTTTTTGTCAGCATTCAAGAGTCTCTCATGGTTTGCCTCCCTCCCTCTCCCCCACCATTTCCACCCTTCTTCTCCCCCTTGTTCCTCCGTCAAGTTCCTCCTAATCCTCCTATACGTGCAAACATATGGTATTTGTCCTTCTCTGCCTGACTTATTTCGCTCAGCATAACACCCATATAATAATGAAAAAGTTTAAAATATTTCAAGAATTACAACATGGATGGACCTTGAGGGTGTAATTCTTGAAATATTTTAAACTTTTTCATTATTATATGCCATGGTGATCAGTAATCTCTTGCCACCAACCACACCCACATAAGAAGGTAAACTTAAATGTGTATATTCTAACTGCTCCACCAACTGGCCATCCCCATTCTCTTTCCCTCACCTTGGGCCTCCCTACTCCTTGAGACACAACAATTGTGAAATTAGGCCATTTTATAACCATACAATGACCTTTAAGTTTCCAGATGAAAGGTAGAGTAACATCTCTCTCAGTTTATATCAAAAGCTAGAAATAATTAAACTTAGTGAGGAAGGGGTGGCAAAATCTGAGACAGCCTGAAAGCCAAACCTCTTATACCAGTTAACTGAGTTGTGAGTTCAAAGTAAAAGTTATTAAAGGAAATTAAAGGTGTCATTCCAGTGAACACACAAACAATAAGAAAGCAAAACAGCCTTATGGCTGATGTGGAGAAAATTTTAGTGGTCTGGAAAGAGAATCAAACCAGCCATAGGATTAAGCCAAAGCCTTGCCCACAGAAAGGTCCTAGCTCTCTTCAATTCTTTGAAGGCTGAGAGAGGCGAGGAAGCTACAGAAGAAAAGTGTGAAGCTAGCAAAAGTTGGTTCATGAGGTTTAAGACACCATCTCCCTAACATCAAAGCACAAGGTGAAGCAGCAAGTTCAGACGTAGAAGCTGTAGAAAGTTATCCAGAAGATAATTAACAAAGGTGGCTACACCAAACAGATTTTCAATATAGATGAAACAGCACTCTATTGGAAGAAGATGCCATCTCGGACTAGGAGTCCAATGAGGGGATTTATATCCTGAACTGCAAAATCATGACCTGAGCTGAAATTGAGAGTCAGATGAGCCACCACTCAGGTGCCCCTCAAGAAGTCATTTTATATTTCAAGCTGACTTATCTAAAAAATACACTTTATAAAGCTTTAGCTGCCACAGATAGTGATTCCTCTAATAGATCTGTGGTGGTCAGTATGATACTGGCATAAAAACAGATACACAGATCAACAGAAGAGAGTCCAGAAACAAACCGATGCACATATATTGTTAGTTTACAAGGGAGGCAAGAATATATGAGGGAGAAAAGAGTTTCCTCAATAAAGGGCTGGAAAAACTAGACCCCTATCTTACAGTATACACAAAAATTAATTCAAAACGAAGACTTAAATGCAAGAACTCAAAATAAACTCCTAGACACTGGTCTTGGAAATGAATTTTCGGATTTAACACCAAAACAAAAAAGCAACAAAACCAAAAGTAAACAAGTGGGACTCCATCAAACTTAAAAACTTCTGCACAACAAAGGAACCATGAACAAAATGAAAAAATACCACCCACAGTAAACTGGGAAGATGATGGAGTTGGAGGATCCTCAGCTCAACCTGTCCCACAGACACATGAGACAACTACATGTATCTCCCTGAAAACAACTTGAAGACTGGTAGAGCAGGTCCTTCCACAACTAACGGTAGAGTTAAGGTCACACTGACAGGAGAAATAAGGGGTAGAAATGCAGTCAGGAACCAAACCTCTGGTGCAACCAATCGCAAAAGAGAGGGATATCACAAACATAGAAACAAGAGGGGATCAGACCCCACACAGGGCACCACCAGATGCCCTAGGGATTTCCACTAGGAAAACAAATCCCCATAATGCCTGGCATTGAAAATCAGTGGTTCTTAACTCCAGGAGACCCTAAGAGTGATAGGAAATGGAGTTTCCATGCCTAAAAAGCCAGCATTCTAAATATCTCTGTCCAAATACAGTTTGAAACGCACCTAGGATACATGTGAAAGAGATCTGTTGATTACTTTTAGGATGAGTGCCAGAAAGGCAGCAATCTGCAAGAGACTTCTCTAAGAACAGAAGTGCTGACAGGTAACATTTTCCTTGCCAAACCCCCCCCCCCCCACCATCTAGATAATACCTGGAGAGTATTAGCAGTGGCTGTCACATCTACCTTACTAGCAATGCATACCCCACCCTGGCAGAGAGTCCTCCAAAATGACTCCCGCCCCACCACACCCAGCAAGCAGGCCCAGGGTGGGAGTGACACCTCTCTGAAGTGACTCCTGCCCTGGGGTAGGGGGGAGCTAACCCCACACACCAGCACACCCACAGCTCCTGCAGCCAAGCCTTTCATTGACTGTCCAGGGAGCAAGCACTACTCATTAGTGCACCCACAGTTGTCCTAGTGGTCAGTGCAGACACCCAGGCTGAGTGCTAAACCTGCCCACCTGCCAGCCCAGCCTCTAAACTGATCACATAGGGAGCAAGATCCACACACCAGTGTGCCTGTGGCATGTAAAATGGGTCACTGCAGCCAGCTGAGCTGAGGGCCATCTCCACTTACCAGCATGCTCACATCAATCATGGTTCAGCCACAAGAAGGCATACACAATCCACACAGAGGACACCCCTGGAGCACCTGGTTCTAGTGACCAGAGGGGATTAAACTACAGGGCACTACAGGATCCCATCTACGTAAAGCCACTACTTTGAAAACTTGGGAGATGTAGCTGGTCTACCTAATAAATAGAAAGAAGCACGGAGAGTTAGACAAAATGAGGAGACAGAGGCATATATCTTGAATGGAAAAAAAAAAAAAGACAAAAGCACAAAGAGCTAAATTAAATATAAGCAATATGGTTGATAAAGAGTTCAAAGTGATGGTCATAATGTACTGGACTTGAAGGAAAAATAAAATCAGTGAGAACTTCAACAGAGAGACAAAAAATTTTAAATAGAGTTGAAGTACACTAACTGAAATGAAAAATACACTAGAGGGAATCAACAGCAGATTACGGGATGCAGAAGAATAGATCAACTAGCTGGAAGACAGGGTAATGGAAATTAACCAAGCTGAGCAGCCAAAAGATAAAGGTATATTAAAGAAGAGGTGAAGATGGCAGCAGAGTAAGAGGACCCCTAAGGTCACCTTGTCCCACAAACAGAACTAGGTAACTATCAAATCTGGGTACTAAATACCCCAGAAATCAACCTGAAGATGGTCAGAACAAACTCCACAAGTAAAGGTAGAAGAGACCACATTGAAGAAGGTAGAAAGTGTGGAGACATGGTTTAGGAAAGAAACATCATGGTCAGTGAGGTCATGGAGAAGGGTGAAAGACAGACGAGCACACAGGGGAGTGCATAGGGAGAAATGAATCCCTGTAGCAACTGGCTTATAAAGAGAGAGAGGACAAATTTCATGACCTTTGGCAATCAGTGGGGCTTAAAGCCTGGAGTTAAACGTCAGTGGACTTGGGATTGCTCTTGAAAAGAAGGCAGGGAAGACAGCCCGTGACATACAAGCATGGAAATAGTGATCTGAAGAGTGCCTGGGGCACGCCATTGGGAAGTTATTTGTTCATCTCAGAGCATGTCCCAGAGAGACAGTGTTCATGGAGAGACCCCCTACAGGCACAGAGGAACTGGCAGGTGCCATTTCCCTCTCCCGCCCTTCTCCATAACCACAGGATCACCTGCAGGGACCAGTGCAGAGCAGATACTGGCTGCCTAACTTCCTTACACCAAGGCCCCCCCTCCTCCATGCTCTGGTGGAAGTGCTCTACCCAGTAATGATGGTTTTAGCCCCAGAGTGGCAATCCCCATCCCCCAGCCCAAACCCTTACCCACACTGCCTCACCTGACCCAGGAGTTTTGCAGGACCTCAGTTCTGACAGTAGTGACGAAAGGTCTCATTTCACAAGCAGACCAGAACACACCTAGTTCACATCCAGACCAGGGGCCAAACACTCCCTACAAAAGGCAAAGAGAGCCTCTGCAGATGACTGGCCTGAAAGATAAAAGGGCCAGGGCTCAACAGCAGAGGGCATGAAGCAAACATTAGAGACGTTCCCTGAAGTTCCAGGCCTTGTGGAACAGGGGACACTACATGGTAAGGCACTGCAGGACTTCTTCTTCATAAAGCTATTACCCTCAGGAACAGGAAACAGACAAAATAAGAAGACAGAGGAAGCTGTCCCAAACGAAAGAACAGGACAAGGCCATGGCCAGAAACCTAAGTGAAACAGATAGAAGTTACATGCCGGATAGAGAATTTAAACTAACAATAAAAAAGATACTGACTGAGCTTAAGAGGAGAAGGCATCACTGAGACCCTTAACATAGGGATAAGGATTAACATAGCAGAGAAAAAGAGCTTAATAGACAAAATGAGGAAAATGCTTGATGAAATGAACAGCAGGCTGGAAGAAACAGAGAAATAAGTTAATGACCTATAAGACAGAGTAATGGAAAATAATCAAGCTGAACGAAAGAGAGAAAAAAGAATTAAGTAAAATGAGAATACTTAGGGAAGTCAGTGACTGACTCTATCAAATACATTTTCATTCGTATTATAGAAGTCCCTGAAGAAGAAGAGAGAGAAAAGGAATCAGAGTTTATTTGAAGAAATAACAGCTGAATACTTCCCTAATCTGGGGAAGGAAACATATCTAGATCCAAGATACAAACAGAACCCCCAACAAAATCAACAAAAGCAGATCCATACTGAAACATATTGTAACAAAAAGGGCAAAATACAGTGGTAAAAAATATTAAAAGCATGAAAAGAAGACAGTAACATACAAGGGAAACCCCATAAGGCTAGCAAGGGATTTTGCAACAGAAAATTTCAAAGCAAAAGGAAGCAGCACAATATATTCAAAGTGCTGAATGGGAAAAATCAATAGCCAAGAACATTCTTTCCAGCAAGACTATCACTCAGAATAGAAGGAGAGATAGAATTTCCCAAACAAAAACTAAAGGAGTTCATGACCATTAAATCAGTCCTGCAAGATATACTAAAGGGGACTCTAGGTGGAAAGGAAAAACAAAAGCAGAAAAAATGAGTATTTTTGTAAAAAATCAATCAAGGAACTCACAAAATAAAAGGACATAAAATGTGATACCATATGCCAAAAAGATGGAAAGGAGAGGAGCAAAGAAAAATTCAAACTTAATATAGACTGCTATATACAAATATGTTATATAAAAACCTAATGGCTAGGCACCTGGGTGGCTCAGTCAGTTAAGCATCCAACTTCGTCTCACGCGTGATCTTGCAGTTCAAGATTTGAGGGTTTGAGCCCTGCGTTGGGCTCTGTGCTGACAGCTGAGAGCCTGAAGCCTGCTTCAAATTGTGTCTCCCTTGCTCTCTGTTCCTCCCCTGCTCACATTCTGTCTCTGTGTCTCAACAATAAATAAAGATGAAAACAAATTATAAAAAAATAAAAACCCAATGGCAACCACAAATAAAAATCCACTAATCGATATGCAAAGAATAAAGAAAATCCAGATATATCACCAAAGAAAACAAGCAAACCATGAAAGGAAGAAAGAAAGGATCAGAGAAAATCCTCAGAAACCACCACAAAACAAGTAATAAAATGGCCATAAATACGTATCTATCAACAATGACTTGGAATGAAAAGGACTAAATGCTCCAATCAAAAGATATAGGTTGACAGAAAAGACAAAAAATAAAAGACCCATCTTGAAGCGCCTGAGTGGCTCAGTTGTTAAGCATCCAACACTTTATTTCTACTCAGGTCATGATCTCACAGCTATGAGATCAAGCCCCACACTAAGCTGGACCTTGCTTAAGATTTTGTCTCTTGCTCTCCCTCTGCCTTTCTCCCACTCATGCTCACTCTCTCACTCTAAATGAATGAATGAATGAATGAATGAATGAATGAATATTAAAAACTAAAAAATTTAAAAATAAATAAAAGTCCCATCTATATGCTGACTATAAGCGACTCATTTTAGACCTAAAGACACCTACAAATTAAAAGTGAGGAAATGGAGAAAGCCCATCATGCAAAGAGATATCAAAGCCAGAGCAGCAATACTCCATCAGTCCAAACAGACTTTAAAACAAAGACTATACCAAGAAACAAAGAACGACAGTATATAATAATAAAGGGGACACTCCAACAAGAAGATAAAACAATTGTAAATAATCATGCATCAAACATAGAAGGACCCAAATACATAAAACAGTTAATAACAAAGGGACTAATAAAATACAATAATATTAGGGAATCTTAACAGCCAACCTAAATTAATAGATCATCTAAACAAAAAATCAGTAAGGACACAATGGCTTTGAATGACACACTGGACCAGATGGGCTTAACAGATATATTTAGAACATTCCATCCTAAAACAGAGTGTATATCCTATTCAAGTACATATGGAATATTCTCCAGAAGAGACCACATATTAGCCCTCAAAACAACCCTCAACAAATTCAAGATGATTGAAATCATACCATGTATCTCTTCTGACCACAATGTTATGAAACTACAAGCCAACCACATGAAAAACTCTGGGAAGACCACAAATAAATGCTACATTCATTAAACAATGAATAAGTCAGCCAGTAAATAATAGAATAAAAAGTACATGGAAACAAATGACAATGAAAACAAAATGGTTCACACCTTTGATATGCAGCAAAAGTAGTGCAGAGGGAAGTTTATAGCAATACAAGCCTACCTCAAGAAGAAGGAAAATCTCAAACAATCTAAAGTTACACCTAAAGGAGCTAGAGAAAGAACAACAAAGCCTAAAGTGAACAGAAGGCAGGAAATAATAAAGATTAGAGCAGAAATAAATGAAATAGAAACTTTAAAAAAAATAAAAGATCAATGAAACCAGGAGATCGTTCTTTGAAAAAATCAATAAAATTGATAAAGCTTTAAGCCATACTTAGCAGGAAAAAAATAGAAAGGACTCAAATAAATGTAATTATAAAAGAGAGAAAGGAAATAACAATCAACACCACAGAAATACAAACAGTTATAAGAGAGTATTATCAGAAACCATATGCCAACAAATTGGACAACCAAGAAGAAATGGATAAATTACTAGAAATATAGAAAGTTTGAACAGACTGATAACCAGCAAAGAAATTCAATCAGGAATCAAAAAATTTCCAACAAAATTCTAGAACCAGATGGCTTCACAGGAAAATTCCACCAAATATTTAAAGAAGAGTTAATATCTACTCTTCTCAAACTATTCAAAAAATAGAAATGGAAGTAAAACTTCTGAATTCCTTGAGGCCAGCATCAACCCAGTACCAAAACCAGATAAAGACTTCACTAAAAAAAGATAACTACAGGCCAATATCTCTGATGAACATAGATGAAAAATCCTTAACAAAATACTAGCAAACTGAATACAATGCATTAATAAAAACCATTCATCATGATCAAGTGGAATTCACCCCTGGGTTGCAAGGTTGGTTCAATACTCGTAAATCAATCAACATGATACATTACATAGGTAAGAGACAGGATAAGATCATTTCAATAAATGCAGAAAAATTA